AATGTATTGCATAAGTGTCTTATATAATTTTGACACTGTTTATAAGAAGTGTAATGATTGCAAAACATTGCAAGAGGAAGAGAAAAAAGTGTGTTAATTGTGGTGAAGCACTATAAAAGAAAATTTTATTGTTATCTAAAATTTAGAAATTTAGTTCTGAATAATATAGTATAAATATTATTTATTTTTTATTTTTGCTATTGTATTTTTTTTTTCTTTACTTTTCAAAAATAATCATGAGTTATAGAAATGCCAAGAAGCATACAAATGAAAAAATAAGTAGTACACCTAACATAAATAAAAGAGGCCACAAAAAAAAAATAGTTTTAGAAGATAACCTTAATAGTCTTTCAAATGATTTTATTATTTCACCAAGTAAAAATGTAGGTGTCAAAAAGCTTTTTAAAAGCAGCAAGAACCAACAGATGCTTCTTCATCTTTAAATATTCATAATAATAACACACCAAGTAAAAATAAAAGAGGATGTAAGAAGAAGCAACCAATAGTTGTATCATAATCAAAAATAATTACCAAACTCTTAGATGATGATGTTTCTAATAATGATATTGAAGATATCAATAGTTCCAACAACGTTGATCTTGATATTAGTTTTAATAATAATGATAATATTTTCAATGAAGTTGATGAACTTGCAGATAAAGATTCTACAATTTTACCTTCAAAAGTAATATCAACTTTAGAAACGGAATCTAATGGTCAAAATATATCAATACTTAATTTAAGAACCATTCATCAACCCAAAAAAACACTATTTCTTCAAATAGAACAATACTTTTAAGACCAATAGCAATGTTTAATTTAAGAGAAAATAGTCCAATTGATTATAACTTAGCATTAGATCTGGAATCAAGAAAAAAATTTGATTTCTCAAATAGAATCTTAAGATTGAAGCCAATAACAGTTCCAGATTCAAAAGCCAGAGCTTCAAATTTAGGATACATGCCTCTAGGGTCAGATGATAATACAATGAATATTTGAATGAATAATACTCATAATAAGATGAATAATTCAATTTTTTATTCTGACACAATCAACAAAGTTGTTCCTGCACCCTTTAATAAAATGACAATTTATTCATAATTATGTAAGAACCCTAGTGTTTTACAGCTAGCAAATAATATGCATTTATCAATGCAAACCCTAATCATATAGGGATTACAGTTTATGCCTTCTAACTCTTCCAAATCATTAACTATGCCACAAAATCGAGAGGATATGACAAAAGCTAGCCA